TAATATTTTAAATGCTCCAACAACCCATCATGCTAATCACTGAAGCAATTGTAACCTTACAACTGCCTTGTAAAATTTTACTTTTTAATCAAAGGATAAAACAACCTATCCACTTAATTTATCCAACTTTTATTATATGAACAATGTCTTCATCAATACCTCCTTCCTGATGAATGACAAACCTAAAATATCTAAAACCTTAACATTTATTAACTTTGTCCATCCATCTTAACAACCTAACATTTTTTCAGTATTGCTAAAATTAATTGATAGAAGAATCAGGTTAAATATTGACATAAGTTACTGTTTTCCAGTGATCAACTTGGTCTTATTGTTGAATAAATATCAGGTTCACCTAGTAAAACATAATAGAACAAGAGACCATCAAGACATCTTAGAATGTCAACAACATAAACACTAGTTATAAGAAAATTGGAAAGCAAGTCTTTGACCTATCAAAGATTACAGATAAAATTTATATAGTCTCACAGGCATATCATATATGCATCTCTATATTACAAATAAACAGAAATCACCCAGTCAAAACAGTTGGTCAAATTATGTAATACAACCATGCCACTATCAATCGCAAATTGGGGGGCAGTTTGTTATCATTTATGCAGCTTCTTTTCTGCTAAAACAAGAAACTAGTAACAAAACCATCTGCCAAGAATGTCACTTTTTTCAAAATTATTTTTCATATTTTTGAAACTATTCGAAGCAAAAGAAGCTGCAAGGCCATCTCTCTCTCTATGGCCTCCTGATTGTTGATCCTGAATAGTTATTTACAGGATTGTTACTGCTAATCTTTTGGGTTCACTTTTAGAATCATAAATCATGGCAACCATAGGTAGTATCTTCATTTTAGTGGTTTAACATATGTAACTTGACATTTTAAAGTGATATTAAGTATATGAAATGATATGTAATTAATATATTGTCTAATTGCTATTTTAATGATTATCTTTATTCTTAATTTTCTTTTTTATAACTTTTATGTTGATGAGAATCTCGCTTCATTTGGTCGAGCGCTTGCACTTTGGGCGTTTTGGAACCTTGTCACCTTGGTCCTTGACAATGTAAGTTTCTTGTTCCTTTTCTGAAAAAAAAATCATAAATCCAAAACACAAGACTAGAACTAGAATATTCAATAGAACTATAGAAGTATTATGTCTCTCTTCCATGATTTATGCTTTTGTGTCTAGATGTTTTGCAGTTTTATAGAATTTTACATAATAAAGATGAAGCACCCAAAAGAAGAAACAAAAAAGGTTTCCCACTTTTCATCTATATCTTGTACCTAATTTAGTTTCACAAGAAAAAGATCCATTGAAAACAAATGTAACAGAAAATGGAAATTTGGTCCTTTATTTTTGAAAATTTGCTTTTTTAAAAAATCATGTGCATTTCTGTCTAAACAGATTGAAACCATAAAATCCTCCTAGGGTATATATGAAAATACATGTCAAAGGTTGAAAACTGAAGTCCAAGAACTTGTTGAGATACTAGAACTTTTGAACTATAAAGAAAATAATACTGAAGGCCAGTCTAACCAGTGATATCTTGAAGGCCTGCAATATCATTTTTGGTTCTGGACTAACATGATAATTATTCATTATATACTCCAGAAACACTTGAGCCATATCCTTGACATTCTCCTGTAAGTAAAATCATGAGCATCCAATAAACTAGTGATATGTGTGTATGATCAATATTAACAAATGTAGTATCTTATTACTAAAAAATAAATAGCAAGATTGTAAAGATTACAAGAAAGCCCATAAGAAGATAAATTACACCTTTAAACATTACAGTAGATCTAGTCATCTAACAACAAAAAGAATAATAGACAAGGTCATCCTAACTCATTGCCTGCCTTCTACATAAGAAAGTATACATGCACTACCAGATTTATTAAGGTTGCACTTTAAAATAGCACTGTGATGTAAATTAACAAGTGTCAGTATATGCATTCCATTCATATCCTTTCTAACTTCATTGTGTTACCTTTGAATTGTGCTTCAAATATCTTGTATTGTAAACTTAGTGTATGCCAAACATGCTCATCAGTGAATTGTAATTAAACAAATATAGCAACTCGATACAAGATCACCTGTTTATCGTACTCTACCAGTAGTACTCACAGAGATATTAACATATACCTGATGAACAAGTGCTAAAATTCTAAAGAAATACCTTTTGTTACTTATACTTGCATAACAATGGTGGTCCCAAATTCGGATGGAAAAGATGGCATGCTGTATTATATAAGTTATAGCTAGCATAAAAATGTCATAAATAATGAGCATGGATCTTAACCGCTTTCATCATAGGGTTAGATGGTCATTGATGGTCATTCAGAATTGATGTGAGGCATCCTCACATCCAAGTGCACTGAAGTGAGAAAAGGTGAGCCAGGAGGGCTATCCGAAAGAGACCCATCATCTATTTGGTGTGACAGATAAGGGGTCGCATGTTGTCTTGGTCTGATATAGGTAAAGAAGTTAGCCAAGATCATAGGACTATAATAGCAACATCAAATATATGAACACTTTCCAAGAAGGGTTAAAATTGGCAGGTATGATGATTTGGCAAAGGATTACCATGATTTATTTACTAGAAACATAATGGATAGAAAAAAATTGAGAGATTGATAGTACTAGAAATAGAATTTGATATGTTAGAAAAAAATAAATAAAACGGTATAGGTCTTGTTGAAGACTCTTTAAGGATAATGTTGTAAAAGTGAAGAGATTTGGCAATAAAGTTATAGTTTGGATAAAAATATTTTTAAATGTTATAAGTGCTTATGTCCTCAAATTGGATTATAATCAAATTAAAAGAGAATTCTGATATCTTCAATTAAAAAGGTCATAACTGAACAGAATTTAAATGGTCATAAAGGGTAAGAGCAAAGTAAATTTAAAAGAGTATATGATGGCTTTGGTATGGAGAAGGAAATGAAGAGGGATGATATAATTGTAGCTTTTGCAACATCCTATGATCTCACAATTGCTAATACACATTTTAAAAAGAGATGAGCATTCAATTACAGTCAGATAAGTTATCTCTCACTTGGAAGGTAGATAGGATACTTGTAAGCAGGGTCTGCCGTACCGAGCCGTACCACCCGGTACGGGCGGTATGGGTGGTACGTACCGGTCCGACAGGTTTTCGGTATGCGGACCGACTGTTACCGGTCCGAGGCACTGTAGACTGTAGCAGTACTGTAGCAGTATATAGTTGACTGTAGCAGTGCTACAGTACTCGGTACACCAAGGTGTACCGCTCGGTATACCGTACCGTACCGATACCGAGCCCAGGTCGAAATACCGGTACGGTACGGTATTGCGAACCTTGCGCAGGGTCTGCCGTACCGCCCGGTACGGGCGGTACATACCGGTCCAATAGGTTTTCGGTACGCGGACCGACTGTTACCGGTCCGAGAGTACTGTAGCACTGTAGCAGCGTACTATAGTGCTACAGTACTCGGTACACCTGGGTGTACCGCTCGGTATACCGTATCGTACCGGTACCGAGCCCAGGTCGAAATACCAGTACGGTACGGTATTGCGAACCTTAGTGTGAAGTTAGTAGGTAGGATTGTGAAAGAAATGTTTCATTCGTAAACATTCAAGTATAGATCCAATACAACGACAAAACAACAAATTGTAAGTCCCAACTATTTAGGGTCGACTATATGGATCTTTTACCATTATTAAAATCTATAAAAATTCATATATTTAGTTAAGATCAAAGTACTTAAATATTTATTTATAGTTTCTATTAAGGTCTTTTTAGGTCTTCCTCCACCTCTCCTCGTAACACTAATATTGATTATTTCATCTTTTTTTACTATCGCATCCCGAGGTCTTCTCAACACATACTCAGACCATCTTAGACAATTTTATCTCATCTTATCCTCTATCGAAACGATACCTAGTTGTTTACGAATAAAAGTATTAATTTTCCTATCTTGCTTAGTAACTCCACACATCCATCTCAACATTATCATATCGGCAACACAAACTTTTTATATATATTTTTTCTTAATTGCCCAACACTCAAATCCTTTAAGCAGTGTTAGTCGCACAACTATCTTATAATTTTTTTCTTTGAGTCTCAAAGGCATCCAATGATCACACAAGACTCTTGATGTCCCTCGCTATTTTAACCATTTTATTTTTACCTTACGAAATATATCTTCATTAATCTCTCCATCTTATTGAATAATTGATCCAAGATATCTAAAGTTTTTATTTAAAAGAACTTCTTGTCCATCTAATCTAACTATATTCTCTTATCTATTTCTAAAATCACTAAGATTGCATTTTATATA